TGACCACAGTCAACTCTTTCTACAGAGCAGTCTGGTACTCTGCCCACAAGTCTCATCCAATCTGTCAGTGCTTTGCACACAGTAGGGGCTAAAAGAATGAATGAAAACATCCTTAACCACCACACCTAGAATGAACAAAGTACATTATGAAATAAGAGTGGGGGAGAATGGAGCATGCATACACACACCCACACACTAGTAGTCCATCACGCAATATTGTGTGCAGTAGGCCACCTGCCGCTTCTGCGAGAGCCAGCAGAAACCGCAGCGCTTCTATAGGAGACAGGAGAGACCCACATTCATTCCACGGGAGCCAGGAGGAACCCACACTGCTTCTGCAGGAGGCAGGCCCGCCATTGCTTCTCCAGGCCTGCGCTCAGTCACAGAAGCTACAGACCAGCCCCCTGTCCCTGTCCATGTCTGCTCCAGCTCTGGGGAACCAGCCCAAGCCGGGCACAGCAACAAAGCAAGCATTCGAATAAGCCACTCATGCTGCCCACTCTCAGGAGCCACCCCCCTGGGACTGGGGGACTTGAGCAGGGCTGAGAGAACTGGGCACCACCATCTTTGTGACAGAGTATGGTTAATTTGCATATTGCCCTTTTATTATATAGGATATCCTATATAATAAAAACCTACTATGCTAAGTGTCCAGTCATCCAGTTGTTCGTTCAACCAATCAAAGGGTAATATATGCTAATGGTATGCTAAGGCCACTTAACCACTCTCTATGACATGCACTGACCACCAAGGGGCAGACAGTCAACCAGTTGACCAGTGGCTATGATGTACACTGACCACCAGGGGGAAGATGCTCTGACCAGTAGGTGAGCTTGCTGCTGGAGTACAGCCAATCAGGCCTGAGCGAGATGGACCAGACATGCCCTTGAGCCCTCCCACAGTCCCTCCGCAGCTACCCTACTTCCCACATCCCTCCCCAGCCCCAATCAAGCACCCGTGGGGTCCATCGACCTGGCCTGAGCCCTCTTGCAATCCGGGACCCCTTGGGGGATGTCAGAGAGCTGGTTTTGGCTTGATCCCACAGGCCAGGCCAAGGGATGCTTCACTTCCTTTCAAAGTTCTCTTATCAACCTTTCACGCTGAACAAATATGTGCCAGATATCTAGCTAGACACTGGATATTGCTGCTATGGCTTCAACTACTACTTCTGCTTATATTAATATTAATACTAATACTACTGCCACTGCTCTAAACACTAACAATAGACATTCAGTACTTTCTATATGGTAGGCACAATGATAAGCATTTATAGGTTATAGCATTTAATTTTAACCACTATCTATGAGATAATACTTTTTACCCGTTTCACACATGGAACAACTGAGCCACAGAGGAAAACTGAGTAATTTCCCTGCTTGCAAGTCCTTAGTCCAGCAAGGAACACAGGCCATGGACCCTCAGTTACAATGCCCTGCGTACTTTGAGAGAAAAGCATAGGATAGAATAAGAATGCCTAACAAGGGGATACAATTCAGGACAAGGACTGGGGAGGCTTTCCTGAAGAAATCACACTGAAGTGGAGATCTGAAGGGAAAATCAGAATAAGCCAGCAAAACAGAAAGAAGAGGCCTGAGCAAGGCAGAGGCTGACCCTGAGAACTAAGCCACGGCCCCACACAAAGCCAGGCACTGATCATGGAAAATGATCGCTCGCCTCAACAGAGCACTCAGCCTGGGAAACCATTCTGTGACCTGGAAGGAGAGAAAACCTGCTTCAACCTTCCTGGGAGGTTGGGAGCTGGTTTAACTACCAAGTATAGTTTCTGTTTTCCGTTCACATGTAAATACAGGATGTTGAGATGCACTTAAAATCAAATCTCTTATGGATGCAAATCTATGATATATAGATATTAGGTGGCCTATTGGTTGAGATCAGCTTTTAAAAAAAAAAAATCCTTCATGGGGCCACATTATTTTAAGGCTTTAACTACCAGGTATTATAATAGCAAAATGTAATGACAGATTCTAATTTACCAAAGATGTAGAAACGCTCCCAAAATTCCACAGAAAGAGCTCTATGCCACTACTCTATGCCACCAAGTCAACAAGGTTTTCTCTCAAAGAGTAGCAATCATTGTAATCCAATGGTGGCAAGTCCTTTAGTCAGCTCACACCACGGAGTTATCCTCACAACAAAACAAATTGGATTTCTTAAATTTGTAGCCACCTGAGACAAAACTTCCTTCTTTCCTCTTACCTCATTTCTTTTCTATCTTTCTTTCCTTTTTTTCTTCTTTTTCACCTTTTCCACAACAAAACAGAACCATTCCAAACCCTTTCCTGTCGATGTAAATTCTCTGTCTCCTTTACCATCACTCCAACTATAAATATACAGTTTTTGTGACATAAACGCAAAGTTTTATTGTGCCGTTAGCCTTGATAGAAAGCACAGTGGAAAGTTGCTTAGAAATTAAATATCTAAAACATGCTATTTTAGAATCCAGGGCCCTCACTATTTCATGTCTGCAATGGAGAAATTTCATCTTGGGGAGAGCAAGCTGTCTTTCACACCATATGGCTAATGGTGGTGCATAGCAATTAGCCAGGCTGATTAATGGTGAACAGACTCTAATTTTATGCTTATAATTGAGACTGCATTTGCACCCCTGGTGCAAATTCAGCACATCCCAACTTCCACTTACAACAGGCAAGAAATCAAGAAAAATAGGATGGTATGGAAAGCGAGATTTTTTTTTTTCCTAAAGCCCCCTAAAGAGCATCTGATTTGCAATTTAAAAGACTGTTAGCCACACAATAGATGACAGGTTTGTGTAATAGGGTCATGGCGGCCTGGTAAACAAACAGTACCCCTCACACATCTATAGGCAGCCAGAAAAACCGTCATCTGTAACATTAACAGGATGGCATTTTGAATATGGCTTTTCCCTCTCAGCCATGCAGTACAAAACATCATCATTTGCCTTCCGTGGCTTGAGAATTTTATTTTTGCTATTTTTATGTTTCTGAAAAATAGAAAGAACACCAGCAGTAAAGCACAGCAACCAGCATAATAAAATACCTTGGACCAATGAATTTTAAGAACAAGAAAAATATAAACTGCATTAATAGAGAGTAGGCTTGTGTGTGAAAGGCATAATATATCTTTAAGTATTTCAAGAACAGAATTATTTCTTGCAGAGTCCAAAAATGGGCAGATCTGAGATGCAAATCTATGATATATAGATATTAGGTGGCCTATTGGTTGAGATCCATCTTCCTGTCTGTCTCCTATTTTGCTAGAATCACATGTAATAGAACACTGAAAATTCATTCTAATAACATGCTAATTGTGGGAAGCTAAAATACAGTCTGAAAAATGGTAATACAAAGGAGGTCATTTTTTTAAGGCTTTTCAAAATGATTTTACTCATTTAATTATGTAAAGTGCAACTCAGCTTTAATCATACAATTATTGTATGCAGTATAATGCTGATTTTTGCCTTCTAAGAAATTTATGACCATATTTTTGGATTTTGCTACTGCCTTCAAGTTAGAGAAAAGCAACCTGTTTTTGGAATAATTAACAAAGTTTACAAATCATTGAAGTTAAAACTTGTGAAACTCCTATATATTTTATAATAATATATTAGAAGTATGTGTTTTTTAAAAAATAAAAGAAAAAAGGGAAATTTTCAGACATATACATAGTTCTAGATAAAAAAGTTAATATTTGAGATTTCAGTAAGTAAATATGTTTATACATTAAGCCCTTTCTAATGTATTTTCAACTAGAACAGTGGTCGGCAAACTCATTAGTCAACAGAGCCAAATATCAACAGTACAACAATTGAAATTTCTTTTGAGAGCCAAATTTTTTAAACTTAAACTTCTTCTAAGGCCACTTCTTCAAAATAGACTTGCCCAGGCCGTGGTATTTTGTGGAAGAGCCACACTCAAGGGGCCAAAGAGCCGCATGTGGCTCGCGAGCCGCAGTTTGCCGACCACTAAACTAGAGCTTTAATACTGAGTTCAGTACACAACAAATAAAGCCCACTCATGCTGAAGCCCTAACAGGATTGGTGGGTAATAGTCAGGGGCCAAGACTGCATGAGCTCAGCCTGAATGGCTAACAAAGCAATTAGTAGCCTTTTTCTGATGCACAGTGGCACCTTCATGCTTCATCCAATTACTCAGAATATTCTGGGAGCCAAGGACCACTGTTACTTTATGAAGAATAAGAATCCTAAACTGCAAGTTAAAAAGTGTTCATTCTCTGGTCTGCTTTCCCACATGTGGAGGTCTGGCTGAGACCAGGGAACTGAATGTGGTCTAGGGGCCTGTTTTCAAATGTGGCTTCAGTCAGGTATCAGGCAAAAATAAAGACCCTCATTTGCAAGTGATATGGATTCTTATAGCTTTCAGGGATTCCTCCTTGCTATCCTTCCGAAAGCTCACCAGCCCTCAGAAATATTAGCTACACTGTCATAGTTACACACTGGGTAACTAAGATTAAGAGATCAGAGTCTGGGGCTGGGGGGGGCGCGCGAATGAAAGAAAATCCACGCTCAGTTTAAGGAGGAATACTGCCTATGTATGGACGTTCTATTTTTAAGTGGAAGAATTAAGAGGGGGAACCACTGTATACCTTAAGTCTTATCAAGCGGAGGCTTCTGCTGACATCAATAGAACTCTTACTCATTTTACTAGCAATGTGGTTGAGTGCATATATTAGCACTAAAAGCGTTATATTGTATTTTATTCAATTGAAAGGAAGAAGGGGAGGGTACTGCTTTGTGCCCATTAACAGTGCAGATATCAACATGGAAATGTATATCTTACAGGATGAACTCTGATAAATAATTGAGAACCACTCTGATGCCTGACAATTTAGTGCCAAATACTGAAGTCCATGGGTTCTTTTAGATTGTCTAATAGAAGATTAAATATATACCCCCAGAATAAACCTGAGTTCACCTAGCTTGGAGACACAAATTCATCTTCTCTTTGCTAAATAAAGGGAGAGAACAAAGTATTTCTTACCTGCACATGATCTCGTGTGTGAGCAAGACTCGGCACATTTCTGGGTTCTTGTCTTGGCCTTCATACACTATGGCCTATAAAAAAAAAAAAGAAAAAGAAGAAAGGCAGGATTTGAGTTAAGAATGGAAACAGGTAGCAGAGAACAAATCATCACAGTTGAGTTCTTGACCACTTCTCCACTGCTGTGGGCCCAGACGTTTTCAGGAGGTAAGGCCTCTCTGGGCTGTTTCAAGATACTTTGTTAAGGATCAATCCAAACTGTGGAAACGGCCATGTTTCTCTGTGGCCTCACTATGACACACATCTCTGCATTTGTGTGTGAGATGGGTGTCAACAAGACAACCACAGTTCACCCTCAATTCAGAATAAAAGAAATCTAATCAATGACGACGACGACGACGACGACGACGAGGGGAACCCAGCCATTTTAGCAGATTGAGATACTATTGATTTAAAATATAGAAAAGTACACAGATTTGTATGTATTTTTCTCCTCATTTTACTACTTCCAGCCCCAGCATGTAGTGTTCCAGAGATGAGCCGCAGAAAACAAGTGGAGGAGGTATGATCAATGAATCCATTCTCTCACTGTCTTCTCTGAGATGATTCATCAATCAGGGAAAACCCTTCTTCCCACCAGCAGGCGGAAAGCATGTGCTCTCCAGGGTGTACACCCACCCATACAGTAATGTTCGTCAGCATATGTGCGGGCTTAAGCCACAGAGCCATCTCCCTAAACTAAAAAGAATTACATCTGATTCTCAAAATCTGGAGTCCCAAACCACCTCACCAGGCAAGATGTTTCTGTCTGTTTTTAGTTATGTGTGTACAAACATTTTGCTTATGATCACTAGGAAGTTTCCCTAAGAACATGTTAATACTCGAGCCAAAGAAAAACTCACAGCTATTGGTAGAACAGTACTCTGCATTGGGATACATTTTATTTATTTGTTTACTTATTTTAGTGGGGTTTTAAATCTTTATTGTTGAGATTATTGCAGATGTCCTCTCCCCCCTCCCATTAACCCTCTCTACCCAGTTCCTATCCAACCTTCGCCACTCTATTGACTGTGTCCATAGGTAATGCATATATACTTATAATATCTTTGTTTAATCTCTTCCCACTTCCCACCCTCCTTTCCTCTGAGAATCATCAGTCTGTTCCATTTCCATGACTGATTCCATTTTATTCTCCAGTTTATTTTACTCATTAGATTTCTTAGTTTATTTTGATTTTTAGATTCAATTGTTGATAGGTATGTATTTGTCATTTTGTTGTTTCTATTTTTATCATTTTCTTTTTACTCTTCTTCCTCTTCTTAAAGAATACTCTTCAACATTTCATATAATACTGCTTTCGTGGTGATGAACTCCTTTAGCTTTTTCTTGTCTGTGAAGCTCTTTATCTGACCTTCATGATAGATTGTTGGATAGAGTAATCTTGGTGTAGGTCCTTGCTATTCATTACTTTGAATATTTCTTACCACTCCTTTATGGCCTGCACAGTTTGTTGAGAAATCAGCTGACAGTCATATGGGCATTCCCTTGTAACTGCTTTTCTCTTGCTGCTTTTAAGATTCTCTCTTTGTCATTACCACTTGGTCTTTTAATTATAATGTGTCTTGCTGTGGTCCTCTTTGGGTTCCTCTTGTTTGGGACTCTGTGTGCTTCCTGGACTTGTAAGTCTATTTTTTTTATCAGGTAGGGAAATTTTTCTATCATTATTTCTTTAAAAACATTTTCAATATCTTGCTCTCTCTCTTCTTCTGGCACCCCCCCATAATGCAAATGTTGATACACTTGAAGTTTTCCCTGAGGCTCCTTATACTATCTTCATATTTTTAGATCCTTTTCTCTTTCTGCTTTCTTGGTTGGGTGTTCTTTGCTTTCTCATATTTCAAATCATTTACTTGTTTATCAGAATCTTCTACTCTACTGTTGAATCCCTGTATATTATTCTTTATTTCAGTCAGTTATGCTTAATTTATGACTGGTCCTTTTCCATTTGGGGAGGAGGTTTCTAGAAAATTCTTGAGTAACCTTATAATTGTGATTTTGAATTCTATACCCAATAGTTTTATTTCTTCCATTTATTTCATTTGTGAAATGTTTCTTTGTCTCTGCATTTTGGCTGCTTCCCTATGTTTGTTTCTATGTATTGGGTAGCGGGGCCATGTCTCCTTGAGTTGGTAGAGTGGCCTTATGTAATAGGTATTCTATTGGTCCCAGTGGCCCAACCTTCCCAGTCACCTGAGCTGGGCACTCTAAGTGCACACCTTTGTGGGCTGTGAGCACAGTCTTGTTGTTATTGAGACTTGATTGCTATTGGTGTCACTGGGAGGAATTGACCTCCAGGGCAATTGGCTGTGAGGACCAGCTGCCACTACAGTAAGAGAGCTGCTGTGCAGGAGACACCCCTAGGGAGAAGGGCTTGCTTCAGTGGGGCTTTGGTGCTCACGGAGTCTTCCCCTTGAGTGTGTCGCTTATGGATGTATAGGTTGTAATCTGGTATGGCCTGACACTGACCACTGGGTACACTGGCTCTTGGGTCTCCAGGGAGGTGTAAAGTCAGCCACTGCCTGGGGCCACCCAGCAGAAGCTACAAAGAAATCTGAAGATTCCTCCTCTTTGTATCAGATTTAGAATCTGATGAGGCCCACCTATAAAGCAAGGCCTGGGAAAGGACAGGCTAGTCACATGCAAAAGCCACTGCACACAGCTTGGGTGGGGTTGTAAGCTGGATGAGATGGGGTCTTAGGGAATCACAGAAATAGCTGCAATGGGGAGGTCCCAGCATAGGAACCATGATCCCTACAAGCACCTCTGGCTGGGACAAAGCCACCCCCAAGTTCCTGCCACAATGCCAGACAATCCAGTTCCTCCTTATATGTGTCTGTGTTGCCCAAAGCCTTGCCCTAGTGCTGGAGCTCAGAGGAAGTGGGACCTTGTAAGTTCAGTTCATGGTTTTTAAGAAGAATAGCTGGGTCTCCAGCAGCCTCTGTGTCACTGCACCCCAATCTACACTGATTTTTACAGCCTGTAGGTCTTACTGCCCATAAGGACTTCGTTTCTCAGCTCTGGGACTTTGGGCAGGGGGTCTGGTTGGGGGCTTAGACTCCTTGCTCCCTTGGGCAGCCTCCACAGAGACAATTTAAAAAGCACCACACAGGGTCTCGGGCCTGCCCATTTCGAGCCTCTGCACCTCCTACCAGTCTCAGTGTGCTTTCTTCTTTACTTCTCTAGTTGTAGGACTTCCATTCAGCCAGCTTTCTAGTGGTTCTGGATGATAGTTGCTCTGTATTTTAGTTGTAATTTTGACATGGTTGTGGGAGGCAGTGAGTACAGACATTTACCAATGCCCCCATCTTCCTTTTCTCCACATTGGGATACATTTAATTTAACACTGTATCACTGCATAATACAGCTTCAAATTGTTAATAAAATTACTTTTGTACATTCACCTAACCCTCAATTGCTTGGTGATAAAACTACTTAAATTACCCAGGAACTATCCTTATTTGGTACATATAGACGCTACGAAATTAACTTATAGTTCGTTGACTCTAATGTGCTTTGTTGATGAACCCAGGACTTTTAGAACCTGTAAATGATGAGGGAAACTTAAGACACTGTGGGTGGGGACCGTTGAGCATGCTCTGGTTAAGATATCTAACTCCAACACAAAACAAAAATAGCAACAAATTTAAAAATTACAAAAGCATGTGCACAGAAAGAAAACATTTCCCTACCACTGGCCTATCAAAATGATTTTTTTATGGCTAGCTTATAATTCTTTAAGGTTTTATTTTGACATAATTTGAGACTTACAGAAAAGTTGCAAAGACATATAAGTTCAACATACTCTTTACCCAGATTCTTCAAATATTTACATTTTATTAAATTTGCTTTATTCTTTTCTATTCTTCCCTGAACCATTTATTAGTAAACTGCAGACACACCCTAAATACTTTAGCTATTATTTCCTTAAAACAAGAAAGTACCTTACATAACCACAATACAATGATCTAAATCAGAAAATCAACATTGATACAATCATCTAATCTACGGACCTTAATTGAGATTCATCAACTACCCAATAATGTCCTAACAGACAAACAAACAAACAAACAAAAAAAGCACCATATTCCAATACCAATTATTGCATTCAGTTGTTATGTCTCCAATATGGGAATATCTTAACCAGAGCATTGTTGAAGAATACAGGCTAGTTCTTTTGTAAAACATCCTCAATTTGGGTTTGTCTGATGTCTCCTCAGACTTAGACTAAGTTATATAATTAAGGGCCAGAATAACACAGACATGGTGCTGAGTTCTCAGTGTATCAAATCTAACTGTCAACTAATTGCACTACTGGCAGTAAACTCTGGCCATTTGGTTAAGGTGATGCCTGTTGTTCAACAGAGATAATCAGCCAGACTTCCACACCTTATGTAATTCACAACTATCTTTTGGGAGAAATATCTAGATTATACTAATATTCCATTATCCCTCAACTCTTCACCCATGATTTCCTGTATTCTTAAAGGAACTTTTCAAATATCCAAGAAGTTGCTTTACTAAAAAAAAAAAAAAAAAAAAAAAAAAATGCATTATGTGAACTGAAAATGTTTTGTGAACCAAAAAATTATATCTGCCTGCTTTATTTTCTGCAATCACAGCTGGAGAACCAGGGAAACACTGTAAATAACTGATTAGATCTCATACACGATGCTAAAAAATTCATAATCACACATTTTTATAAAATCCTATTTTCACTACATTCTGTATGTTCTCTTAATACCCCTAATAACCTCTGTGTCAATTTCAGTTTTTTTGTCGTGCTAAACTAGTAACTTGGTAAATAAATTCACAGGTATTGATGGTGTTTTCCCTACTGCAAAAAAAAAAAAAAATTATTTTTTGTTCTTTTGGGGAGGAGGGAGTATCTGTTACATCAGGCCTTCTTGTTTTGATTATTTCTGAATGACATGTATTATTTTTATTACGGCTGCCAGTTTCATTAAAATCAGTGGCCCCATCATGATATTCAGTTAAAGATATGCTGCAAAAATGC